ATTGTTTGATAGTTGGTGAGAATCCTTTGGGCCTAAAATGGGGATTCTAGAAGCTTTTTAGGTCTTACATCAATCTAAGAATTCTAGGTTACTTTTCCCCACTTGTTGGGGACTTCAGTTTTGAATGGGAAGAGCTGCAAAGTCACATTGTAAAAGGAGCCTGCAATCAGGAATGAGAGGATTGTTGCAGCCGTCATTGCAAACAACCTACTTCAGTATGCCCTCTGACCATAATAATTCACATGCCGCCTACATACAAAAAACATTCATAGACATCCTCCCCAAAATCTCATCCTAATTATAGCATCTGGCTTGAAGTTCATGATCTTGTAATCTATGTCAAGTCCAGGTGCAGATGAGGGTTCTTTGATGTGGCTTCTCTCCATCCTGAGGATATGAACTAATGACATTTTACCTGCTCACCACATACTCAATATACAGTGGTGGTACTAGGACAGGATAAACATAATAGCCACTCCAATTCAAAAAAAAAGGAGGAACAGGAAGTTCATAGTAGTGTCTGTTGTACAGCAATTTTGAAATCCAGCCAGGGATCTGTTATCAGGTTCCCCTACCCCAGCAGTTATGCATGTTCTTTGATGAGGGTTCCATTCATTGCTTTCTTCTGTTCTTGGTTCTGTCCTAGACTTGGCCCTTTCCCTTGAGACCTTTCCTCCTTTTACTTAAGTAATGCTCTTTATGTGTTTGCTGCACCTGAGTATCTTCTTCAGCCTGTTTCTCTTAAAAAGTTGAGGATCCTCCAGAAGGCTCTTGTTTTAAACTGTCTATTCATTGCAATGGTACAAAGCAGTACAGAGCACTCTTTGAAAGCCAATGCTTTCATTAGTCCAACTCTCTCGAAAAATTATGGATTTTGTATGAATTTCACTGGGGTTTACTCCATATTTACTGCCATATTATTTCTCAGTAATTCATCCTGTTCTTTAGTACTTGTCTCTTCATTATAGCCTGAGAAAGAACCTGCTTTTTTCTACGCCTCTGGGACTCTGTTCTTCTCACTCCTGTATCTGAAGCATACTGTTTTATCCTTTTGCCTCATTCACCTTTGTATCCAGTACTTCACCTTAGTAGTAGTTAAGGACTAAATAGAATGGGATTTTCTCTTACTTAAACCTCTAAGGTAATATTTGGGAATTTCTGAGATGTGTCTACTCTAACCAGTCTAGCACACTGGAAAACATCGTTATCCCTTGAATGGCAGTAACTTCTAATCTCTCCTCCCCACTTACATGCACAATCCAAGTAATTACTAGCTTGGGGTGAGTGCTACAGGAGGGTCAAGCAAATAGTAGCCCACAGGCTTAACCACCTGTTTTTGTTTTGCCCATGAACTAAGAATGTTTTTACATTTTTACATGGTTAAAAATGTTTCAAAGAATAATAATATTGCAAGATATGTAAAGCTATATGAATTCAAATTTCAGTGTCCATAAATAAAGCTTTATTGGAACACCACCTTGCTCATTTATTTACATGTTGTCTATGGCTGCTTTTACGCTCTAGTGGTAGAATTGACTAGTTAGAGCAGAAACCATAGCCCACAAAGTCTAAAATATTTACTATTAATACATGGCCCTTTAACAAAAAAATTTGCTTAGTGCTATTGTAAAGTGGTTAGACAACTAGCAGAGCTCTTCTGCTAGTTTAGCCCATTTAATACAACTTCTTGTGTGGTGATTGACCCAATTATATTTGAGGAAGATTTAGTCAGATTGGAAGCTAACATTCTCTTCCCTTAAGCCCAGTCTCTACTTGTGCTTCTGCTGTCAACTTATTATATCTAAATAGGCATTCTCTTGCTGTGCACACTTTTCTCTCCTTTTCTGTGGAAATATTTGGCAGTAGGATCCATTCTTTTTGGCTCTCTTCCTATTGTATCCATTCTCCTTGCTGGTGCTAAAAGTATTGTATAGCATTTTTTAGGTGAACTTAAAACTGTACCAGAAAATGGAATGATGTTTGTGAAATGAAACAGTTCATACAACAGATTATTCTCCCTTGCAGATATCCTTTTTCTGTTTTCTTGGCCAGAAAATCAAGACCAAGGTGAGGGGAAACATTAGGCAAACTAGAATCATAAAAGATTTACTTTCAGTACATGCAAAAGATAAGCCAGTCTAGAATGGGGGGCTCAGCATTTCCTTTGTCTTTACCCTGTTTATGTGCCCAGTGCATTCCCATTAGCAGCAGCTCTCCTTAGACAAAGTGGTTCTCAAAGGTAAGAATGAGGTAGAATGGGGTCAACTATTCAAATCATCCAGGCTTTTACCAGATTTAGTAATGCCTATGTCTAGGTTGGAAACCAGATTGTCATATCTGAGATAGCCATAGTGATATTTGTAGCCTTTTCTCTGAACAACTTGTGTGAGATTTTAAAAGCCATTTAATTTCTGTACTCCTCACCCACTCCCCAGTTTTTTGGGGGTCACGCATAAGATATGCCTCATGGATAATAAAGATGTTATGATTAAAGTGAATTATAACTTTCAAAATCAGCCTTCCCCGTGTGTGTCTTTAGTCAATGTCACATTTTTCTGGTTTTATTTGAGATTTATTCAGATGTTCTGCATTCTCTTGAAGGCTTTTGATGTGTTTATGGCTAGTGGGTTAGGCTATATATTGGAGTTAACATTCTGTTCTATATATGATATCTCTTGTAAACTGCATATACTATGGTAATTCTTCAAACTGATCTCCTCTTCACTTTTCTATTCTTCTGTAAAACTGTCTGGCTTCTATTCTTGAGTGCACTAAGGTCATTACTGTCTCATCTGTGGTACATACATGTCTCCTCCACAGATGAGACATATTTTCCAGGAGTCAATTACTTGTTCTCAAATTTGCCTATTGGTTGCCCTTATTATTTTAACAAAGTAATTTGCAAGAAAGTGGTATATAAATGAACAAAATGTGAATGTGGAAAGAAAGTTTTTATGAAAACTGGTGTTTAGGAATTACTTGATAAGGACAGGTCCCTAAAGGAATTTTTGTCAATTTGCCTCAGCTGTGAAAGACTGTGGAGAAATTGTAAAAATCTAAGCATCTTCATTCTGTATCAGAGAGCCCATAGTGACAAACAATAGTCCCAGATCAAGAGACCCACAAATTAATGTATATTTTAAGATGTTTAGTTAAGATAATATGGTTTTATATCTTCTTTCTTGTTTCTTTGCTTTAACTGATTATTTGCAGTTATTCAGTTAGCTGCAAAGACTAATCATGGGAGTGGAGTTGAGAGTACTTTAGTTTCATTGGATTTTTTAATATTGAAAATATAACTCTGTAATTTTACTTATTATAATTGAATTTTCTATAGCAAGCATGCTTTAATTTCCCTTTTAGTTTATTAAATTTATTATCACTACTTTTAATTTGCAGTTTTCTTGCCTTACAACTTTGTTATGCTGTTCTCTGGTCTATCTCTTATTGCTGTTAAAATTTACATACAAAGATCTTCAAACTTTTTTTTTTTTTTTTTTTTTTTTTTTTTTTTTTTTTGAGACAGAGTCTCACTTTGTTGCCCAGGCTAGAGTGAGTGCCATGGTGTCAACCTCGCTCACAGCAACCTCAATCTCCTGGGCTCAAGCGATCCTCCTGCCTCAGCCTCCCGAGTAGCTGGGACTACAGGCATGCGCCACCATGCCCGGCCAATTTTTTGTATATATATTTTTAGTTGGTCAATTAATTTCTTTCTATTTTTGGTAGAGACGGGGTCTCGCTCAGGCTGGTTTCGAACTCCTTACCTTGAGCAATCCGCCCGCCTCGGCCTCCCAAAGTGCTAGGATTGGCCAAACTTTTTTTTTTTAAGACTTAGGACCTCCTCACATATCTTTGGAAATCCTGAGTACTTTTTATTGGATGATATTAATTTTTTAGATCCAGTTTTGAAGTATTAATTTTTTTTGGTAGATGATAAACTTAATTGCTGAGATGTTTTTAATTTAAGAGGTTTTTAAAGTTCATCATTCCTTGGAATATACTTCTTGTGTAGTTGAAGTTCATTTTGTTTATTGAATTCTCATTGTGAAGAAATCAATGTGTGAAGTAGAAAATAATACCACCTGTATCAGCCAGGGTTCTGATATACATTTTGTGTAGTTGAAGTCCATTTTGTTCAACCACACAGCTCATTTGTTTGAATAATTAAATTTTATTTCAAGACCCTCATTTCTTTCATGTATGATTTCCTGACCATAGCAGCATACACGGATCCTCTGCATCACTTACTTGCCATCATTTCTTGACACTTAGTGTCATTTCAAGTTGCTGTTCAAATTTTTTTTTTTTCAATCATCCAGCCCAAAATGTCACTAACTTTTTAAATGTTTATCCTTTCACTTGTATTTGTGTGTTTGCTAATGCATTGAATGGAGTGGGGGAAGGTCAGGCACTGTACCCTTACAGTTTGAATTTTACAGCCAGACTAGCCTAGTACCTTATGGAGAGTTAATCAACTATTGCTGAGTACCTTGACTTTTCTGAAAATTGGAGATTTTTTTTTTTTTTTTTTTGAGACAGAGTCTCGCTTTGTTGCCCAGGCTAGAGTGAGTGCCGTGGCGTCAGCCTAGCTCACAGCAACCTCAAACTCCTGGGCTCAAGCAATCCTCCTGCCTCAGCCTCCCGAGTAGCTGGGACTACAGGCATGCGCCACCATGCCCGGCTAATTTTTTGTATATATTAGTTGGCCAATTAATTTCTTTCTATTTATAGTAGAGACGGGGTCTCGCTCTTGCTCAGGCTGGTTTCGAACTCCTGACCTTGAGCAATCCGCCCGCCTCGGCCTCCCAGAGAGCTAGGATTACAGGCGTGAGCCACCGCGCCCGGCCAAAATTGGAGATTTTTTAAATGCTTTTTTATAGAATGGAATAGCCCTCAAAATTATGCCTTTGTTAATATACAAAGGGTTTTATTTTTCATGTTGTCCTTAGTGCTAAAATGCTTAAAAATAAACCTTAGGAAGTTAATTTCCTTTTAATTAGCAGGTGCTTCCAAGGAAGGAGGTGCTGGAGCAGTTGATGAAGATGATTTTATAAAAGCTTTTACAGATGTCCCTTCTATTCAGGTAAGTCACATGGCACTCCCCATGAATATTGCTTATGTGCCTGTTCATATAATTGTCTTTTTCCCTTTTTTAAAATTATTTTTTCCTTAAATGATTATATAAATGAAATATTTGACTTACCATTACCAAACTGTTACTTGTTGATACGATTAGATTTTCAAGTGATTTTTTTAGTGAGGCTCAAGTAAAATTGAATCTGTATATTAGTAAATCACATTATCTTGCAATGTCTAACTTATCTTTTTTTTTAATATTTTAAATCTTATCATTTTTTTTTCCTTTTATTTCATTCTGCATATATCCTTGGTAGCAATGTCTAACTTAAAGTTCAGATTCTTGAATTAATAACTTTGAGTCCAGAGAATATTGGAAATTAGTTGACAATAGAAATTTGGAAAGCATTCACCTAGACATAAATGAAGATGTCAGAGTAGACACATTTATAAATAATAGTATTATTTCCATGGCTTAACAATGCACATAAGTGTTGTATTGTAAATAACATTCTGCAGCCTGACTGTTTACTCAATATTGGTTTTTATATTTTTTCACAATGTAAAACTTGTGATTCTAGTTCATTCATTTGGATTGATAGATGGTATTCTATTATGTTGAACAGACCACAGTTCATCTATCTGTTCTGTTGATTGGACATTTAGGTTGTTTCTTAACGTTTGGCTATTACATATTGTGCTGCAATGAAGATTTTTGTACGTATGTCCTTGATTATTTGTAGATATTTTCTTACCTGCAAATGAAAGGTCTGCAAAATACAAAAGGAGGGAGGGATATTTTTCCTATTATTTAAGAAATAAATATCTTAAAATAAGATATTTTTTAAGTGTGAACATAGGAATGGAATTGCATAGAACCTTTAACTTTAATAGATGTTACTCTATAGGGTTTTTATACCAGTTAAGACTCCTACAAATAAGGTATAATAGTTCTCATTTCTTCACATCCTTGCCAACACTTAAAGTTGTCACTTAAAATATTTTTCCAGTGTGATGAATATGAATGCTGATGTTCTTTAGCATGTGTTTGGAAAATATCTCACTCACATTGCTTTACTTAAAAAACTATCTGTATTACCTTCTTAGCTCTCTGAAAGGGAATGTTGTCCTTAAACTATTTAAGATCTTTAAAAATTGTGAGAAAACTTTAAAAAATTCTCTAATTTGAGTATATTTTCCCTTTATTGAAATATTTTTCTTAAAGATATTATTTTATTTATTTATTATTTTTTTTTTTGAGACAGGAAGTCTCGCTTTGTGCCCAGGCTAGAGAGTCCGTGGCGCAGCCTAGCTCACAGCAACCTCAAACATCCTGGCTCAAGCAATCCTCCTTGCCTCAGCCTCCTGGTAGCTGGACTACAGGCATCCGCCACCTGCCCGGCTAATTTTATATATATATATTATTTGGCCCAATTAATTCTTCTATTTTTATAGTAGAGACAGGTCTCGCTCAGCTGGTTTGAACTCCTACCTTGAGCCAATCGCCTCCTCGCCTCCAGAGCTTAGATTACAAGCGTGAGCCACCACGCCCGGCCGATAT